AATTTCATAGAATTATCCAACATCATTGCGTTACTTTTTGATAAATGTGTTTGCTTGTTTGTCGATTTTTTGACCCCTAAAGTGATAAAATTTTTTACATCCATGATTATGTAAGCATTAATTATTAAACGAGTTAATACAATCGACGTAAATTTGCTTTTACTTCGTTTTATTTGAATAACTAAATAACGATCATCGAGGTATGAAAACAAACATTGTTTTATAGCTTCGTATTAAGATTCAAACTGACTATTAAGTTATAATGGAAGAAATGAACTTTGATAATATTTTTTTATGTTAGTTATTTTTGGTTACTAAGCAAAATGTTGCCCTTGCTACACATTGTGATTATCAAAGCAAATATAGTTTTTGCTTTTACTACAATTAGTATGTGAGCAGATGTCAAGGTCTGAAGTCCACATAATGTAGTTGTCAAACGTGACTAGTTATATTTGCTTACGGAATTTTCAGAGAAGTGAAAATTTCACGTATATATTGTTTTATTAGTTAGAGGTGTTATTATAGTCTATTCTTACGATTTATAAACTAGAACTGATGATAAAGAGGAAATAGTACAGGTTAGTTAGGATTTTTATCAAATAGGTATCGCACAGGCCTGCTGAAAGCATGTTGTGTCTTCGTGTTTTCATAAATCTTATTAACAACTCGTAATTTTGTTTGTATTCAAAAGTTATTAAAATAATTTATTGTACTACTTTTTAATTAACAAATACTTAATAATAAAAGTATAATCATTTTTATTTTATTATGTAAAAAAATTACTTTGAACAAAGTTATTTCGTTGTGCAAATGAGCGCTCGACAAATGAGAGTTATTTCAAGCGTAGAAGTGACGAAGCTTTTTGTATAAACATTGTCTCTCAGAGACAAATTTTGTTATCTAAATTGGGATGATTTATGAAATTTGGTGGTTGATTTTATGTTTGAGTTTGATAATTTTTATTATGTAGTTTTATACTTACGTATACTTAAATTTACTGTTTTACTGGAATCTGATTTTTTTACATTATTTAAAGGAAATAATGATATTACAAATGTTTGCTTTATATGATCAATTTTGGTGACTAAATAATTATTTGATTTTCAGTAAAATGCGAAACATTACATATTTATTGTGGATTACATTCAATTTAAAGATATTCTTCTCTAAGTGTCCATAGGCGTATCAAAGCTCCTAAAATTACAGTAACATCGACACAATTGCAACAAATTAGTTAAAAATTCGTAGTGAACTTATACCGTAATCAGCTTTGGTGCTCTTCCCGTTAGCCGCTCCGTTCGGTACTCAGCTTTTTGCTGAACGCGGACTTTCCAAATTGGCCTTTGTTCAAAACATATTCATGGTATGAGTACATCGTACTAAAGCCGTGGTAAACAACATTCGCAATTATGATTTTTTATCTCTTCGCAGGTGAATTAGACATGATAGAAATCAGCCGACATGACCAATTTTTTACCCTCTGAAACAAATTATATGCGGTTTAATCATAAGCTAGTAGAATATCTACACAACAGAAAAAATGTACTTATTGTATTAGAAAAAATGTTCCTATTTAGAGCAAAGTTTGGGCACATTTTGTTTACGCCTTTTGTTTTAATGTTAGCAAAGATTTTAATCACTTTGCGCTAAGGTGGGTGCGCAATATTAAAAATATGTTATATTTTAAAAATATTCCTTTGTCCTTTGGAAACTGCGACTGGGACTAACGACTTTACCAATATAAGAACAAATATTTTCATTTATCGAGGTTAATTCATTGACCGCCTAATTTTCGATTACAAAAATAATATTCAATTAATGTTAATGATATTTCACACGATGTAAAATATTTCCACGTTTTTTCTTAGGTTTATAATTTAGATCCGGGTTGGATCTTACAAAAACCGTATCTATTTTTAGACATGAAAACCATTCAAATTATTAACTTATAATGAATGTGAATGTACTTAGACTGATCTTAAAGTTTTTTTTTTGTAAATTAATAATAAAATTCACTTGTTAGCATGACAGGTATTATTTGTTTTTATGGCGGCTCTGTATTTTAAAATGTATACTCTTTGACGTGCTGTGCATAAAAAGTTTTATAACTTTGTTCAGTGTCTAAAAACACTAATCTATATCGTTAATACAAAAAACGATTGTGGTTATTCAAATTGATTGATACATAAAGAGCGTATCTTATCGAGGTGTTTTAGATTTTTTTTAACATTTATGGTCTTTTGTATTTTTTAATGTTATTTTTTTTTGTTTTATCTTAACATTCTACAACTTGAGATTTTAACATAGTTATTACGTGGAAATTGTTAGGAGCAATCATTTTGTGAAAAAAATAAATATTATTAGATTGTATAAAAAGTGACAAACATTAATTTAATTCTTAATTCTTACTTATTAGTATAAATGTGAAAGTTGGGATCCATCCATATTTGTTAGAGCTTCTAACCTGAACGGATTTGGATGAAATTTGGCGTAGGTGTAGAGGACAATCTGGAAGAACAGATAGGCTAATTTATTTTAATTTTTATAACGCGCGGACGGAGTCGCTGGCGTAAGTTAGTGATTAATAATTATCAGTGCAGTGTTTTTTGCGAATAACATCCTAGTTGTGTTACATTCTACAATTGCTTTATCACGATCATAAAATCTTTACTTAAGTAACGTGTAATATGTAATTACGCTTTTTGTTCATTAACCAAATATCAAGTTAAGTGATTTTTTCCACTATAATTTGATCTAATGCGATTCTGAGGAAACTTTTGTATGTTTTTATTACTTGTTTTTTATTACTCTAGTTTACACTGTTTCAAACATTAAAGACAATTTCCAATGGAAATGTTTTTGACATATTCAATGTTTTCTATAGATTTGTTATTATGGAGGTGCTTGATCCTACCCGATTTAAGATGACTAGGCCACAGTCAACCCCGCTGACCAACTGCGGATAATTTCACATATATTTGAATTTATTTGCCCATATCTGCAGATCACGATGCAACGTCACGCTGTTTTCTTTCAATAACGTTTTATTGATTACAATTATTGACTCGATCGTTTTTTGCAAATCCATCTCAAGTAACTGATTTTAATCTCCAAAGTTCAGTCCAGTCCAGTGGGAAACCAGTCGAATAACAAGTTTAACCCGGAACGGTATTTATACAATCTTGTCAATAACTAATTTACATTTATATACAGTACATGTATGATGCAATTTCATTACTATTATTCAGAACTGCCACTTAGAAGTTAATTTAAATTAATAGTTAATTGCAATTGAGAAAATCGGATTTAGTTAAAAAGAATATATTCAAATGTGAAATTAATCATTTGCAAGTCAGAGCTACATCTTATTTTTATTAATTAAGAATAATTGATTTGACAATTTTCTTTGACATTCTGCCCTACCCTAAAACATATAGCACTGCACAGTTTTTTTACTTGTATAGGAAGCTATTTTAATTATGTATTGATCTTGACTGCTTCGACCTTGGATATGTTGAACTAATTATACAACAAACCAAAAGGATAATAAATGTATTTCTAGAATTACATTTATCTAAAAGTTCGATTAGATTATGTTAATTATTTTCATAAATACAAGAGCAATTTAATACTAGTTGTGACATCTTGTGAAGGAAATGTGCCACTTGTAAAGTGCACTGATTTTCAGAGCGTATGACATTTCCCGGGTAAAGTCACATGGGGCTGGTCCGAAAGAGGCGCCCTATGGCCAGATATATATATATCTTCGAATCACATAGTATCACCGGTATACGCGCCCTCTCACCAAAAAGCTAAACAGGGCCCTCGAAATCTCCGGATTTAATTTGACGGATTTAATTTTTATTATTATTTGTTTTTTATTATGGATATTGTTTCCTTGATTAAAAAATCCTAAATTCCAAATATTCGTATATACTCGTAGTTACATAGATAAAAATGAAGATGGGTTCATATGAAAATATGCTTTGTTTTTGGTCGACGGTAGACCTACTTTGTTTTTGTTGATTTAATCGTAGCCTTTTTATTTAAACGCACTAATAACCTTTTAATCGACATTCGACAAAAATCTAAATAAACCACCTCCCAATTCTATTTATAATCAGGCGTCTTTTTTAACACATTTTTGGTATTTACGTTACAATTAATTTTCAACAATCGATTACCATTTCGCTTTGGGTCACCTTGACTCCATCGCGGGCCGTTATATGGTCGAAATCTGCATAAGATGAGGTCGTCCAGCCTCGTAACGGAAGTGGCCTCTAATCGTCAGAGGTCGCCGCTGTTTTGACTAATTACAAATACTGGGCGTCTTTGATATTTGCCTCTAAAATTATTACCATATCGGAATGTTAAATCGATAAATTTCTCCTTCGACCTCGGGGGAAAGTCAATCAAAGCTTCACGTTCGCTTATCTTGAAGATGTCAAGACTCTGATCAAGTTTTATCGTGAAATCAGACAGTAAATGAATCCTACGAATCTTAGAATACAAAAGGATTTTACATTTTTTATTAATAAATTAATTACTGTTTTATTATAACTTATAGTTACAAAAAATAGTTGCAACATCATCTGCTTGTTGGTGTTCATAAACTAACGTAACCTATAGTTCAAGTAAAATTGTAGTATGCGTGTCAAAAATAGACTTACAAACTAATTTTTATATTATGTTAAAATTTTAATCATCCGAAGTATTGCTAAATAGGTCAAACGATTTCTCTCTAATGAGGTTGAACCAACAAGGTCGCATGCTTCTGAGTCACAACTTCCCAGAGTTGGTGTCTCACCAATACTGACCATGGCATATCAATTATGTCATTGAGACTAAATTGTATCTCACATTTTATGACTTAATGCGTGCAATAACGCGTACTAATAAAACACTGAGCTTCCCACTAACACACTTATTTAGTTGCAATTTGTAACACTTGTTTATAAAAATCAATGTTATAATTTAAAAATGCGTACGTTCAATTCCAGGTCTGTTCCTGTTCTTGATGCTTGGCTTCTTCTCGCTGGGGGCGGCGTGTTTCATCTTGTTCCTGCGACCTTACGACTTCTTCTTCAGTCAAGTGAGAAAACATTATATCACGTTTCACGTATACACTCCAGGAAATAATTTAATTCAGAAATCATCCTAATAACTCTGTCATACTTTATAATAATATAAATAATAAAGGACTAATGTAACACTAAAACGGATTAACGGATCTCGGTTTACGTCACAGATGTAGAACGTAGTCTGGAAAAAGACATAGAGGCTACTTGCTAAGTATTTTTAATGCCGCGTCGAGAGTCGCGGACAAAAGCTAGTAATAAATAAACGTATAAATTATTCAAAATGTGAATTCAAAAGGTTATTAACTAGTTATATTATTAAATTAAATATGCAAATTGTATCGTGATTCTTTGTAGTCAATTAACATGTGAATTTTACATAGAGGTCAAATCCTGTTGTGCCAGAAAATACTAGATGTTTAATTATGTTAGTTGTAAATTGACCTTTTATTATGATAAAGCAATACAAAATACACTAAAACAACACTGGAAACTTTGTAGTAATTAAAAGATTTTTGTTAACTAACGACAGGTAAAGTAAAAGTGTATAAGGTAAATGTTAAGAGTATGTTTTGTGTTGTAGAAAGCTATCCTGGAGGAAGGTGGGGAGATCTTCGAGATGTGGCGCAAGCCGGAGGTGAAGCTGTACTGCCGCGTGTACTTGTTCAACGTGACCAACGCGGAGGAATACATGGCGGGGAAAGATGACAAGCTCAAACTGCAGGAAGTCGGTCCCTACGTCTACAGGTTAATTCATTTACTAGTTATTTAATCTAGAGTGTTGCTTGCAAAGTACACTGTGAACGTTTTTAAAGAAACACATCAATGATGGATTTGGTTCCTAGATATTTAATTATTTTGGAGGAAAATGCTTTCACAGATATTCGGATATACATATGCAAAATTAAATAAACCTAATCGTACTTGCATTGGCTAACACAACGTGACTTCTTATCTAATTAGGATAACCTCTAACATTTATATGGGTGAAATATTTTATCATTTATCATCGCTGCAAACTTAAAAACATGATGATTGCATTCATAGTACTATTTTATAGCATACTCGGATTTGCTCGCAACTTTTTCCAGTCGGAGTTAAAAATCTAGTCTTAAATTTTACTCAACGATTATATAGATTTCTAATTGCGAAATAATTTTTAGTATTATTAGTATAGAAGTGAGGTACATTGGAGCAGTAATTTATGTCGCTGACTTAAAAAAAATGATATAACATTCCCGTGTAATGATTGCAGAGAGCGCCTCGAGCACGAGGTGCTGCAGTTCAACGCGAACGGCACGCTGTCCGCCGTCCCCAAGCACCCGCTGTCCTGGGAGGAGGAGCTGTCGGAGGGCAACAAGGAGGACGACATCGTGTACATGCCGCACATCGCGCTGCTGGTACACACATTACGACTTATTACCAAGCTATTTTAAACTGTTAGAAAGAATTCCTTAATACAATTGTAACCCAAATATCTGTATTTGAGGTTAAGTATTTTTTATATGGAGTAACCCTAGTTACTACGCATCAAATTAGTTTTTGAGACAAAACTCATTTATGTTTATTTTTTTTGTTATTTAATTAGTTCAAAGTACAAAATAATTACTATATAGTTAGGTATGTTTAATTGCCATCGTAGTTAATTGTATTGCCGCTAGAAGGTTCGAGGCTTTGATATATTTCTCCTTCGTCAGTTTTGCTTTCGTAATAAGTTAATAGGATTGCGCCACCTGGCTACCGAAGCGAGCACTTGCAACAACACCCAAAATATATTAAAAATTCCTATTGTCAAACAAACATTACAAAATATTAATTATAAGAACGCTAAGAATTGCTATTCATAAAAGAAAAATAAAAGTGAACGAAAAATTACTTGTAACTTTTCGTTCACTTTTATTATAATACGCTATAAGCACTTTGAAAAAAGTACAAAACAAAAAACTAAAAGAAACTTGCTCAAACGTTATCAATTTTTTTATTAAGAATTACTTAACTTAAGGTTATAGTAACACACTTGTGCTAAAACTGTAATCCAAGTCGCTAAATGTCATACCAATGCTGGACAGCTTCTCTTTAGGGATGCAGCCAGTTTTGAGAAAGTTTAAAATTCAAGAAAAAATTACTAATCGAGAAAAGTGTTCTGATTGTAAATGGTAACATTGCAGAGCATAGCCAACGTGGTGTCAAAGCAGAGTTTCATGACTCGTTTCGGTCTCAACAACCTGATAGCTCTGACGAAGACGCGGCCGCTGGCGCGCATGACCGCGCGCGAGTTCATGATGGGCTACAGCTCCAAGCTCATGACCCTCGGGAACACCTTCATGCCGGGCTGGATATACTTCGACAAGCTGGGCCTCATTGATCGGGTGAGTTCTACACTACACCACTTGTAATGACTAGAAAATATAATACATCATTTATCAGCATACAGATAAACTAAATAGCAACTATTAAAATATAAAATAAATGGTTTAGTTACGGTCGTAAAGTTGCCGTAAATTTTACATAAAACCGAAAGCCTAATTATTTTAAGTCGACCTAAAAAAATTTGTTGTACATAATTATGTACAACAAATTTTTTTACTCTGATGTTGATTTAATAAAAATTGTTTGTGTTAACTACCTTACAGCCTATGTTACATTTATGTGCATAACTTTTAATAATTTAAGGTTTAATCAAGTCACGTGTTTTTAGATTATGTCCAATTTATTTTTCTTTAACGGCATTTTCATTATATTTTTTTTATATTACAAGATGGCAAACGAGCAAGCGGCCACCTGAATCCGCCAAAATGGCAAAGCGACCGTTGTCCATAGACATTCGCTATAGCGGATGCGTTGCCTACCCTTGATCGACGGAGGAGGAGACGCACATAAAGAGAATATTTCCCCTTCCTATGCGTCTCCTCCACTGTCAAATCCACGTTCCCTTCCCATCCTTTTCATATAAGAAAAAGAGTGGGAAGGAAAAGGGACTAAAGTTGGGCTAAATTATATATTACAAAAAAAACATACAGACGAATTGAGTACCTCTTTCTCTTGGGAAGTCGGTCAAAAATATAAAGTGGCGCACACCTTTGACTAAACTATGCGCACCTCTGTATAAGTTTATAGGAATTAAAGCGAGATTAAACAGTGGTGCGATAGTTTAGTTTGTGGTGTGCGCACTGCAACACTTGGTGTGTGCGAATGCAGTAGTGGACACTGTGTGTGTGCAGATGTACGACTTCGAGGGCGACTACGAGACGGTGTACACGGGCGCGGATGACGTCACTCGGTCGGGGCTGATCGCGACGTACCGCGGCGCGGCGCGCCTGCCGCAGTGGCGCGGCGAGCACTGCGCCGGCGTGCGCGGCGCCTCCGACGGCACCAAGTTCCAGAGCGGCGTCTCCGCCAACCAGACCATCCTCTTCTACAGGAAGAGTCTCTGCCGCGCCGCGCCGCTGGTAGCCTGCCTTTCTTATCTCGTCTAACGCAAAAACAATACAACCTCTTCTCTTTAAGCAATACAAAACTCGATATTTTTACGAGTATCCCTTTTTCGAAAATAAATTCAAACGAAAATTAATGACCGCTAGATTAAAACAGCCGAGTCCATCCTGTTATATTATGAAGATATTACTTAAAAATGTGCCGAATTGTTGGCAGATCCCCGTCGCGGAGGGCACGAAGGGCGGGCTCAAGGGCTACATGTACACGTTCCCCGAGCACATGCTCGACAACGGCAAGAACATCGAGGAAAACAAATGTTTCTGTAGAAATGGTAAATATTCACAACATGATAGCACTGGTGTAGACACCTTCCACATATATGATATGCGTTGAACACCAAATAGACTGAAAGTCAGCTGAATGTTTGCATGTTTGCAGGCAAGTGTCTGCCGGAGGGCCTCATCGACGTGACAGACTGCTACTACGGCTTCCCCATCGCCCTCTCCTACCCCCACTTCTACAAGGGGGACGACATCCTCTTCAGCAAAGTGGAGGGACTCACGCCCAATAAGGAAGACCATGAAACTAGGTGCGTGCAAATCAACATTACCAATACTAATAAACATACTAACAAACCCAAGATTTTTTCCAAATAAAAATGTGTTTTACTCTGTAAATACCTATGTATATAGTTATGAAGTTATTGTGAGTTCACTTTGTGTTCAGGTTCTGGATCCAGCCGGACTCCGGCCTTCCTCTGGACGTGAGCTCCAAGTTCCAGATCAACATGGCGCTCGGCGACATCTCCATGATCACCAACACGGAGAGGTTCTCCAACATGTACCTGCCCATGCTCTGGTTTGATATCGTGAGTGTACTTTACTTGAAAGTGTTCTTTGAATTGAATTTTCATCACAACTGACTGCAGTACTATCGTCGACATACATTTTCATTAATTTCAGAGAATGTACAGTTTAACGCCGTCGTTGGAGCAAAGATTCAACTTGTACCTGAACGTGCTGCCCGTCGTGGAGAAGTGTGCGATGTACGTCTGCTTCGTACTCGGCGCCGCTCTCATCTTCATCACCACGTACATTCTCACCTTCAAGATCATGTTCAAAAGTTACAAAAATAATCAAAACAGAAAATGTAACTTCAACTTCAAAACCAATCTTTGGTTCAATCAGGAGAAAACTAATAACAAAAACGTCTGCAGGGATTCTGTGTACGCTCCCTGCGAGATACCACTCAACGATACGGAATCGGATAGTTCCGATCCGCAATTCGAAGACAAAAAGCCGAGTTTCATAAAAACTCACAGCGAGAAAATCAAAGAACTCGGCAACAAACTGTCTGATAAAGTTCACGGGTCCGTCGGTAACGTTAAAGGTACCATAAAGGATGAAATATCTCAAGTGAAGAAAGCAATGAACGAACGAAAGAATTCTTTAATAAGTCCGGACTCGGAGAGAAGCGATTCGGGCGAAGACGACGATAACTATGCCCATTACAAACCAGTTAACCAAAGCGACAGCGACGAGGACTGCAAGTACCTGGAGGTGATAGACGACGGCGCCGAGTTCGACTCCTCGTCCGCGGAGTGCGAGCGACGCCGCGGCGCCGCGCACAGCAACCAACTCTACATTAACATCGGATAATATCGTAGGACTAAATAACTTGCCAGTTCTAGACTGTTGTTGAAAGTGAACGTGGATTTAAATAATTCAGTGTCGTTACTTAGTGTTTGTACAACGTTAGCATTTACTAAGATTCAACTAAATATGTATTCTGTGTTCGCTTCGAACTAACCAAATAATCATCTGAATGAAAAGACGCGATCCAAATATCAGATTGAAGAATAAATTGTGTCGAGTGAATAAGTGTTGGACGAAATATCTTCTGTAACTTTGATGAGTGGCGACATCTTCAGCTCCACAGATGATATAGCGAAAAAATATTTGGTTTTACAAATATTATTGAGCGTAATATTTATTATAATAGTTGTTACATCATTAAGGGCCTGTCTCACCACTGGCTGATAGAAGTACAGATAGTTTAAAAGTGACGTCACTGTCAGATCGAGTACCAAAATCCGATATTTCCAGCACATATTACATACTTGGAATTGTGATCTGACAAGAATTGTGGGATAGGCCCTTAAAGTCGTTGGCGCGGATTGTGTCGCAGCCATTTGAACTAAGACCGTTATCTACCTGATATAGTTTTAGTGCAATATTTTAAGTATATTTGTAGTGTCGCTGCGCACAAATTTCTCAATAAGTATTAAATATTAAGGCTTTGCTCAGTTGTTTCACATAATGTAAGAAGTTATAATTATAAGCAATAAGATGACTGTGATTTAGTTCGACTTCTATCGATGTGTTTGTGTCTGCGAGAGCATCGCTCATTCGCAGGACCAAATGCTAACATAGGAGTTTGTACTTGTAGTAATAATACTCAAATTATGTAAATTTATAATATTTTTATGGATGAAGTTAGTTTTAAATATATTGTTATATCTCTTGACATTCCATGACCCGATAACTTGCCTTCTTAATTACTTATGTAACTTGGCGATGTTAATGCTTAACTAATTCCCGTGTGATATACATAGATAGATGTGGTCAAAACAGTTTTATAAAGGATGGAAAGTACTGGTTATGCAGTGGATATATTTGTTCCAACCGTACCGGAATGTTCAACAATAAAATAATTTAAAACTTACATTTTGTTTTATTACATTTCATTAAGAAGCACTTGATGAAGTTCAAGATTAAGATTATCGGAAAAATAAAAAAGTCCTTGGTAATGATTTTATTATTTATTAAACAAAAAATAGGACGTACATGTTACTCAAATATTAAACTACAAATGGATTGTAGGAGATCTTGAATGAAGGCGGTGTGCAGCAGCCGCCACAATACAAATCCATAGAACAAGCACTTCACCACAATGTCCAAAATAACGATCCTGCAATCAAATATAAGAAATATATTGCAACGGATAAACTCATACCTGAACATTATATACCAGTAGACAGGCTAATAATAGTACATAGCTCGCACTCCTCTGTGAGGACTTTGTTCCTATCTCTCGTTTCGATCCAACTACGAAATTAAACAGAGGAATGTCAAATTACATGACACGCTACGCTCCCATACTTGACACCATCAACATCACTTTTATTTAGTGGAAAATATAAAAAAAATGTTCGTGTGAAACAGCATCACTAAACTAACGTTTTAAATACACAAACAATGTTTTACCAGAAATATAGATAAATGTTAAGGTTGCATATTGAAATAACGTATACCTCCGATAATGTGCTTTGGCCTTCGGCAGGTCTTCATCCTTCTCTTTGAGTAGAAACTTCCTGCCGCCCAAACAGCTTTGTTTGAAAAACTCAACTTTGTCGATGCGCTCCAACTCATAGTAAAAGTCTTCCTTATCTTCTTCCTTCAGACTACTTCGCAGCTTCACGAAGTTCTTGTTGCTGAACGTCCATTGCTGCGTCAGGTAATAACGAAGCGCGAGGTTCGCTATGTAGATGCGGCGTTGGATTTTAACTAACCTGAATATTCGAATAAACGAGAGAAATACAATTCCATGTTATAGCTCTTACCTGATCATACAAAGTGTACAGTGACACTTTTTAGAATATTTGTTATACTCACATGGGATTTTTGCCCGCGATCCATAAAATGGAATCAATGAAGAGTGCAGGCAGCAAGTGCACGAGTAGCACTTTGATGTAGTACACACTCTTGTATGTGGTGATGGACCCGCCAGCGGGCCAGAGCGCGTCGTTGAGCGGTATCTCCAGAACCACTTTTCGGCCAAGCTCGATCAGCGCGCCTATCGTGATCTTGTTGAGGTCGCCGGCGCAGCAGTTGTACACGGGGATGTCATCAGATGGTACTAACCTATACCAAAATTTAACACATTTCATATGAAAGGAAATAAACAACGAACCATGGGGATGTCATCAGTTAAACTATGTTCCTGGCCTTCTAGAAAATTCCCTACTTTAATAAGATCTTGCGTCATAATAGGTTGCATATACTCGTATAGAGACATAGACGCATTTGTTTAATGATAAAGGGAAGATAACTGACGGCTTGGTGCCTCTGGCCCAGGCGGCAGCTATGAAGGCTTTTATCGCTACGTCCACTGGCATGTAATCAGACACCAGGTCGGGATCCGAGTACACACTGCGCAGTATACCTGGAATTATACACAATACATAAGATAATTAAGAGGAGATTCAAGACAAAAAAAATATTTACTGTTATTGACTTACAGTTAATTATCTAGAATATAATTCTCCTCACCTTTTCCACTTGCAACAAAAATCCCGACTGGACCATTAAAGTTCTCGATCCAACCCGGCATGGGTTCTTGGTGGGTTGATATTACTGAGGAAAAAATCAAAATCCCTATATTTATATTGATATAAGTATAACTAACTTGATATTAAATGTCATGAACAGTAATATATCCATCAAAACGGTTTACATAATTTCTTGTGAGACATCAAAATAAAAGTGCATTCATCCAAGATGAAACCCAATTCTTAAACTGTTTAAATGTTACAATAGCTACCTATAGAGGGTCGCATGATGACTGCGGGCAGCTGACCCCTCTGCTCGTACACCACGTGCTCGGCCAGCTGCTTCGTGAACGTATACGTGTTGGGCAGCTCCCCGAGGTATCTGCAAACATGACAATACTAATGTAAAATCTACTACCTCCTCTAATAAGTTATAGTTTGATAGAAAGGTACAGTTACATAAACATTATTTTCTATTCCTATTAGTTTGTGATCAACACACAAAACCAATAAACACATGGTTTAAATCCCAGTTATAAAGAAGGGAACTACACTAACTTTGGTGTGAGAACTTTCAGCGTGTAGTGGTCTGTCTGCTCGCAGACGGCGAGTGTGTCGCGCCAGTCTGCCAGCGGCGGGTACAGGATCTCCTCTATCGGGTCGCGGTTGGTGTTGGCGTATGAAGTCGACACGTGCAACAACACCTGCAAACAATTCCATCATATCGCGAACCTTCTAATAAACAATGTTATTCTCATTCAAAAGGTTATTAGAAAAGAGACTGGTTGAATTAATCAATTCTAGTATTAGGTCTTTTATAATTCTAGATATGATATTTGAGCATTAAGTATGGTAATGTAAGATTAGTTTTCGTGTGGTAACATTATAACAGCTGGTACCTCCAAAAACCTGACTTCTTTAGCGAGTTCCACGACTTCCCTCGTGCCTCGCAGATTCAGACGAGCCGCAACTTCCAGCGGGTCATCAAATCTGGACATAATTTGAATGAAATTAATTTCGTTGTAAATATTAACTTATTTCTTATACAAAAGCAAATTGAAAGCTCACCTTACGCTGGCTGCAACATGGAATATAATGTTGACCCGATTCACCAGTAGAGCTCTGTCTTCTACAGATAAACCTAAAATAATTAGTTACATTAATTATTTTTTAATACGCTGTAAATTTCCTCGAGCATCACGAAATTAGTTTGATTGTTACGCAATGTGAAACAAATAATATTATGCAAAATAACTTTATGGTAAAAGAAGTCCGATGACCCGTTTTAATTATTATAAATTGCGTTTTCACAATAATGCATTGTAAATGTTGTTCATTGTTGCGGTCGAAATTAGGGCAAAGGTTGACATTTGCCTTGCTAATTACGAGTATACGAATGTTGAGGTGGATATTGTTTAAACAACATACCTAGTCCGATTTCACTGGCATCGCCGGAGACAACGAACACTTTAGACTCGAATAAGCCCGGTCTTTCCTGTCTCAGGCGATCGAAGCACTGGAATTATACAAGTTGGATTTATAGTCTTTTACTTAGATATTAACAGTCAATTCTAAGATATCTTCAATTTTGTAACTTAATATAAAACTTACAGGCGATGAGTAGATATCTTGCAGCCTGTCCTCGGACTTGACATTCTTCTTGGTCCTGAGCAGCAAGTAGATCCTGTCCAGCTCCGAGCAGGAGTACAGCAGTTTCTCCACTAGCACTTTGCCCATAAAGCCTGCCAACACCACGTCACGTTCACAATAAATAATGCAATGAAGTTCGGTAATTATGTTTCCCACCTAATAACCATTACGAGACATTTAAAATAATTTTGTGATTACAAATATATAATGTTATCCTTTTTTAAATAGTTAGTCCTTTGTGACATTCGAATTGAAGCAATATCCTCTAGTCCTGAAATGCTTTTTTAGTCATCTTTGGCTTCTAGGAGAAAATAACATATAAATAAATCAGTGGCTCCTTAAGGTTTAGTAAAATAATTAATATTAGTTTTTCTTATGTTCTAATTGGTTCAGTTAGTCTTGAACAGTTGATTCTTGGTAACTACTGATACTGACCGGAGCCTCCAGTGATGAAGAGCGTCTTCCCCCTGTAATACTGTGGAATCTGCGGCACCGCGCTAAAGTCCCTGTCTTCCAGGAAACCCATCGTGCTCTACAACACATTTAAAACACAACAAAAAATATTAAATTCACCTTTACACATCTAAATTTTAATCCTTAATCCAACTTCACCGTAGGAAATGATCACAAAGAATTAATAAGGTGAGACATTTTTCAATAAACACGGCAATTGGGTGTAAATACCAACTAGTTTCGATCACTTCGGGTATTTCCTGAGTATTAATGTAACTGGACATAATGCGCGGATCGTGTTGTTTGTGAATAATGTTATTGTAAACAACAAACCTGTATTAAATACTTTCCCTGTTAATGTAATGTCAAGTGCAATGTAGAGCAGACCGGTGAGCAGCTCTGTTTGAGTGGAACTGAGGCCAGCAATGACGGCGATGGCTCGCAGCAGCGGTAACGTGCCGACCTATTGTTTACTGCCTTAAGGCGAATGCACAATCACTAATTACTGTTATATTCCATTATTGCTGTTCTTGACAATAATTTGCTTGCTATGCATTACGTAACTACATTACACTTGTGATATTTACTGGTTCGATTTTAACAATTTAAATTTTATTATTGGTATAGTTTCTGAATTGTTATAAAATGGATGCATGTTTTTTAAATATAAGAGAGTTGAATAATTATATTGCATTAAAAAACTAACAACAAAATTATTGGCATTATTATTGCAATTTATATTTTTAATTGGATTAAACAGACCTAAAAAAACCTTTCAAATAATAATGCGCCTTAAGTTAATCAGCAATTCAAAGTTACACTAAGTACGAAATGATCGTTAATTGTCAGTTTTTTTAGAAACCAAGTCCTTCAGTAAGGCCGCTGAGGTAATTACATGTACATGAATACACTGAACGTTTAAAACTATAACAACGTTGCTGTGTGTTAAAGATCTCCAAAGGTGGTGTCAAATTAACTAAACGGTGAAAATAAAAATTATTGATACTTAACATAGTTTAGTTATAGCTCTATCATAGATGCTAGCAACGGCAACAGGGCCGGCTCGTCTACACCACCACCACACAGAAGAGTCTGATGAGTGTGCGTGTCGCAGACCTAATTTTAGACCCTAATCTATCCACATTTATCTTATAAGGAAAGGATCGAAAGGGGACACATCCCACACACAGCCTGTCCAATGTTCAGAGCTTCGACAATAGTTCACAATGACTGCTTCGTATGATTTTTAAACACTGACCTCTGGAAATATAGACAGGCTATAAAACACGGTATTTTCAACCTATTTGACCTCCCCCATTTCGGTGTTGATGGCAGCGGTTTTTAACGGCAGTGAGAATGAGTAATAATAACGAAAGACTTAACTGGTAAGTGACAACAAAAAGGTCGCCTAACCTATCCAATTATACAGATCATTGTTTTGTTGTGACTTCGATGATTTCGATGCATCTTATCATGTCACGGTGACTGACGTATTTTTAGAAATTTGTATGAAGTATTTTTTTACAAAATCTTTTGTATCGCTATTTTAATGTTTATTATAATTTAGTTATTAATTATGGCAAAGAAAGACAAGAAAAAAGTAAGTGGTTTAAATCTTGTGAAGAAACACTATTGTATCTTACTTAATAATATTATAAATGCAAAAGTTTAGATGGATGGATGGATGGATGAATGTTTGTTAGCGTTTGTAGCCTAAACGGCTGAAGGGATCTCCATGAAATTTGGCACAGGTTTAGAGCATAGTCTGGAAGAACACATAGGGTACTTTTTTCCCGGGAATAGTTACGGTTCGTAATAGTTAGTACGCGTAGGATTCATTTATTTAGTTTTTTAATGTTCACTCGATCATTCTGCAACGGTTCAACATATCTTATTGAAATTTGACACAGATATAAAACAAAGTCTGGACTACACATGAGATAAGCTTCATCCCAGAGAAATGTCCGGTTCCCGAGGGATACGTAGCTTTTTGTAATTTATATAGTTCGCATGTTTTCTAATACCACGCGGACGAAGTCGCGGGCAAAAGCTCGTTAAAAATAAATTTTAGTAAGAGGGGGTGTGACGACATTGATGTGAGGACGAAAACAGTGCGCGAACCGCGCAGAGTAGAGTAAGGAGAGGGAAATGATGATTGATTGTTTTACATGTTTCAAATAATAAAAAAATATTACCATTAATAATGACAATGAGTTATGTTGATTTCAGAATGAACGACAAGAACCCCCAGGTTAGTAATTTTTATATAAAACGGCCTGGGAAAATTAACTACTTGAACTCGATTCCACAGGTGCAGATTTATACTCTATTGTAAAATCTTTGTGATCGAACAACACATCATATTGCGCCTACATAACTAATGGGGTGGGTTTGTACTTTCTCCCTCACTTTGCACACACGAATGTTCATGGCGTGGCCGACGAGTTTATACAAACTATGGAGTGAACTATACAATAAATATGTCAAACAATAAAATAATAAAAGGTTGGTAAAGCTATATACAATTAGCTAGAAGATTAATTTTCTCTTTGCGATTGTCGATTGATGCGATGTCCATAGTTTCAGCGAAACAGTAGCTCTCTACAGCCTTTATCTTGTTTTATGTTTCGTTTCACATGAAGTGTAAGTCCGTAATCAATGTTTTCCGTGTACAGAGGCGGAGGTGCTGGAGGAGACGCTGGTGGCCGCCACGGACCTGGAGCAGCCGCCGGAGGAGGTGCAGTACACCGACACCTCCTACACCAGCGCCTCCTTCGAGTCCCTGCCGCCGCCCGTCGAAGGTAAACAATAAGCGGATAAGGCTTGTTAGATACAAATATTGAAGAAATTTTAGATTTTTTCTTCCACGTGGCCAACAAAAGTAAATTGAATAGTTCAGTATCGTAATTGGGTCGCCGCTAAAAATGAAAGTGTTACGTAATTTATATAGTTAAAACTGCTGGCAATTGGTTAGTGGGGAATAAAGACTATAATCAAACGGGTCTACGTCACGCACCATGTTTAATCGATACTGGAGTCGCGGAGAAACAGAAACGGTCTCCCTTTCAATACGATCAAAGTGTAATAAAAAATTCCTCGAAATTTACAAGTGAATTTATTAGACAAGTAGAAAGTGGATGCCGGCGGAGTCAGCTTACATCTACAAGTATGTATAATGAAAGAGATTTGCAGTAGCGTGATACATTATGGCACGATAAAAGTAAAAATTAGGAAGGAATTAGTTTGTTCAACAATGTACTTTCTCTGAATAGTGCAATGCGATACAGTTAAAAGTAATTTAAAAAACACTTAATTTTTGTTTTCCAGAAGTCAAACCGAAGAAAAAGAAGGGAAAGAAGGGCAAGGTGGAAGAGGTAAGAAAATATATATATATAACTACTACGAAATTACCAAATGCTGGTAATTTAGAGAAATTCTCCTATTACATAGAACATTCTACCAATAAAGTACAACCACTAAATGTTTGAGAACCATCATTTTTTGTATGTTTAACGTATTGTGTCATATTTAACAGGTGGTGGTAGCTAAGAAGACCACGTCTATGTTTGATTGGTCAGACGAATCCATACCTGACGGTAAGCTCCCGGCGATATTGTAAGTTTAGTATAAGAGAGATTGCTTGATGTCGAGTAGCCGACGACTATCAAAGACTATAAACGTCTTGCTTTATTTCTATTAGACTCATAGAAGAAAAACAAGTCAACCTCTAAAATAAACAGGCGTAGTTACTAAAATTGTAAGACGTGTGCGACATCCAGAGTCATCTTACGAAGTGTTTATTGGTCAATGATTAGTCAGTACCAATTTAAACATTGGATATCACAGAACAGGAGCCACCGGTAGAGGAAGAGGAAGATCATTCGAAATCAAGGAAACGAGGAAAGAAAGGAAAGAAAGACAAGAAAAAAGAGGAAATACCGGAATTTGAAAAGGTAAAAAAATTACAGGTGCTATGCTGTTCTGCGTACACTTATTATTGACTAGAAAGCTTAAAGCGACTTTCTTGCCTTCTTATTTATCTCAAATATTTCATATCCAAATATTTTTTATTCTTGGTTCAAATGCTTACGTGACCCGTGTTCCCGTGTCGACACGAAGGAAGCCTTCTATGTGATCGTATAAAAACCCCTCTGACATGAAAACATAAACTTTTGACATCGACATAAGTATTACCATGAAAAGTATTTTATATACTTTTTGTTATTCTAGCTATTTCCCTGTAGAGTTCATTGTGATCGGACGCGGTGTGCCGGCTAGCGCGGCGCAGCGCAGCGCGGCGCTGCTCTGTGGCGGGGCATTGCTCCGATACAGTTCACATTTTCCAATTTGAATTGTTTTGTTAAATCAGCAAAAGTTTATTAACATCAATTGTTCAAGATCATTAAACTTATACACTGACGATAGATAGTTAGGACATGAAGTTAAAGTCTGTTGTGTTTTAAATTACTATTATTTAGTGAAATAGTTTTATTTAGATTCGTTACCTTTACTTGAAATTGAACATGAGTAAATCAGGAGTTAAAGTACACATTGTACTATGTTATCTCTAAGACTTAAATGATGCAATAAATTATTATAATATACTAAAATAAATGAACATAACGTAGCCTCCGAATTGGAGAAAGATGAACAAAAAAGACAGAGATAACTGGCTGCTGCAGCGCATTGAGGAATGGAGAGCGGAGAAGGAAGCAGAAAAGTTAGTTATCTTCTAACACTCCCAGTACTCTGATTCATTATTACTTACTCCTTAATTTTGGTAGAATATACGTATAAGTATGATTTATTTGTTACATTTAATCGTGCTTTCAACTTGTTTCCGCGGCGTCACAAATCTTAGTAGTTATGAATGTATAGTGTATCTTTTGAATTGTATTCCGTCAGGTAGTTAACACCTATTAATTACTAAATTATTGTTCATAGTCAATATTTCTAACTCATTAGCTGTCGTAGTAGTTTTCAGCGTTGACAAAAGAAGTTCGTACCTATCAGTACGGCAAGAGGGCAATGTTATTTGCAGGCAAGCGATCCTCGCGGGTGCTAAGGAGAAGCGGTTGGCGGAGGCTCGCGCGCGCGCCGCTCTCATGGTAAAGGACAAAGAACAGATGGAGGTCAGGGGAGATTTGCTGCGAAAAACTGTCATACTATTCCAAAGTAAGAATATCATAGCTATTGATTACATACTGTTTTAATATTTACACAGAAAAATATTTTTTTTTCATTTACTTTCAGAATATGAACAGCAGAAGCTGGAGTTCGAAAAGAGAAAGAATCTTAGAGCTGAAGTAAGTGTTGAAATAATTGTAAATGTTTGTAATAACCCATTTTGTTAATATTAGAAGATCAAAGTCGTTTTAAACAACAAAAATATTTGTGACAATCGTTTGATCTCCAATGTTATAAAAATATGTTCTTAATACTTCATTTTTTTTTAAATAAAGTATGAACTTCTTACACCTCGGCATATTCATCGAACATTCTAGTAGTGGGCCCGATGTCACGTGTAGTGTGTTCCTAGTGGCACCAGTACCTGCGCTGTGATGGGCTGCCGGACCCTCGCATCGTGACGCAGATGAACACCTACCTTCACCTCTGGCGGCAGCAGCACTTGTGCGACGACAACGATCTCGACAGGCGTTGTCTGGAAGTGTTGCCGGTGATCCCTTCTATTGTTTTTATTAAAGTCATAGGTAGTGGAGAAAGGAATATAAAATTATTGTGAGATAGTCAATACTATTTTTGCGTGTAAGCAATATCTAATCATCTTATACATAATTATACCATAGATGTTGGATCTACTTGACGAGATAACGGCTGACACGAGGCAGTACACAGACTCCCAAATACGTAACTTCAACGAGGTTTGTTTTAAAAGAAAATACGGTTAAAATCAATTTACTTTTCACGTTTAACTTAAGTAATATTAGGTACTCTCAGGTGCGAATGGCTCTCCGAGAGGAGCTGTCCAACGCCATCCAGGTCGCCTCGTATACACTGCTGCGGGACCTGGAGCACCACTTCCAGTGGCCCTCCATCAAGCTGTCCACATATGAGCGAGAGTTCAAAGGCCTCAGGCTCAACTTCTGGGTCGCTGTTAGGATGCCCACTAGGAAACCTAAGCCTGTTGAACCAGAACCGTAAGATAAATAATAATGCAATTGCTTTAAAGATAAAAACAGATCGAAGAATATTGAATACTTTTTCTATGAACACTAAGAGCTTAATCGTAGAAATGTTACAGTCCTAAAGTATACCGTCATTCGTAGAAATACTGACAACTATAGGGATGTTACATCTGTTAAAAACATAGACAAAAATCAAACCCTGTCTTGATAGTTTTTCTTAATGTAAGCAGACAATACCAACACCTGAAGTGTCATTATCTGACCACAGAGAGCCAGTAGAGCTGACGTTCCCAGCCATGAAAGTGGCCATCAAGCTGCCGAAGATAATCGATGGGTCGTGTGCGTGTGTGCGCGCCGCCCGCTCGCTCGTCGACCTGCTCAGCGAGCGCTCCAGGACATTCCCACTCACCCTTGATATTAACAATAAATATGAAGGTCGGAACCTTTGTTAAATATACTGAATAGTTTCAGCCAATTGAATAACTATACTACATTCACTTCCACTGTGGTCTAATCTGCAGTTTTCACAGATTCTCCTTAACCACTGACTCATTGGTCCTTTATGAAAGACAGGTGATTGTAGAAATAGTTTTATGCTTCACTAGACTTCATCTAATTCATGAACTTTGTTAATTTCATGGTCGATTTGCTGGTGTTACATTTTAAACTCAAAAGTGTTTACAGACTTGTACACATTCAACATAAAAGAGCACGAGGTGACTTACAAGTTGAAGGTGGAGCAGGATGAGGTACGCACCAAGTTCTACAAGGACATCGCGGCCAGGATAAAGGAAATAGAAACATTTATAAAAAGTAACCCGTAAGCAGATTTTGTCAAATAGCAAAACTTTATTGATATAAAGTTTTTTACAGGGAATAGTAATTCAAAATATAATTAGTTTTAAAGTGAATTGTTTTAGAAAATGCAATTTTGAAAACAAAAGCAGCAAGTCTTATAACCGATTAAAATTATATAATACGGCTGGGATAATAAAACAGAAAAAAATATACATCACATATTTCAGATTCTTGAAGAACGAAAAAGAAAAGGAAGAATTAGACAATTTAAACATGGCCGAGCCGCAGGGTTTGCCTGATCCCAGGACATATTTTATTGAACAAAACGGTGAGAAATGCCAAATTTATGCTCTACAATGTTTTCTACGAGTGTAATATTTAATTCAGATCCAAGATAAGTGTAGTTTATTTCATTTTGACAAATCATTGCTTTTCCCAGAACTGGCTTTTACGAAATATCTGAAGAAATGTGCGTATAAAACAAGACCGGGCGAAATAAACCTGCGCAAATACAGGTACAATTACATAAATACATTGGTTTTAAATATAGTTAATATGGTACTATGAAAAAGTTGCATCAATCACAAGTCGAGTTAAATAACTTTAAAAAAAATATAAAACCGGGTTTGGTATATTTCTGAAAGTTGATTTTACTCCCACAGACTTACAAATGTATAACTAAAAACTTAAATACTAACTGGTATATTTTTACTAAATTTAGGAAAGGACATGTAATACCACGTTTATAAATTAAGCATTTATTGGGCACAGAGTTTGTGGTGGGATCCTGAACGTGGACCTGCTGACCACTCCGCCGCAAGCCAAGCGCATGGCGAGGGGCATCGCTCTCACCACACGTGAGTTGAAACGTTCTACAATACACTAAATACTGCTGTCTTGATAAGACAACTATTCTAACGGACGAAAGGTAATATTACATTTATCCTTCAAAGGTATAACGAAAATGGTATAAAAATATGAACTGCTATTTCCTTAACCATTGTATATTCATCATGCTATGGAGTCATTGTTTGCTTGTCTCATTTTATGCGTTAGTAAACTCTTATTCAGTCTTCTCCAGAACATAGTTTGTTCGGCTTTTTCCTTTGGCCAGACGACGTACGTGTTGGTCAGCATTAAGTAGTGCAGGGTGTTGGGCCGCAGACGTCGGGGAATTTCTTCTAGAAGGACTAGTATCAGATCCTCCCGTCTCGTCTCAAGCAGTCTGAAATAAACAGCAACTGTATTATCCCATACAATACGGCTAGATACTGTTTTTTTATTGTATGGCGCTAACATGAAAAAGTTTATAACTATCATTAGCGTTGCGATAACAGATCGTATATTCCAACATTACTAGAAGCCGTTGTATGAGGTACAGAAAGATTAAAATTGCCTTTTTCCAACACAAGTTTTATCAAGAATACAAAGACACTCTGCGGAAACCCCTGATATTAGATATTAATTTAAGAGTTAAGAAGATGTCACCTGTGTTGAGCTAAATGCATTTCAAACTGACACCATTGACTCAACAGGAACTTCCGTGACAGGATCAGTAGAATAGTCTTCGAACGATCCATGCACGAAACGATATTCTCAAGGATGGATAATCCCACCTGGAACAGAGAAGCGAGAGGGGTTAGACAGGTCGTAGCTGCGGGAATTGTGAGGGGAGGAATGGAGGTGGAAAGCAAGCTGTAACCATGAAGTCCCGCTCGTGCAGACAGACGCTGACGTTGGCGTCGACCTCGACGTGCGGCAGCAGCTGGTCCAGCACCCAGCCGCGGTCCTCGTGGCAGTACGACACGAACACGTCGTAGTTGAAGATGGTGTTCTCTGCCACAGTCAATTATACACTGATGATCACGATGTTACAACTTTCTTTAGAATCAATGATCGCAAAAATTAAAAAAATAAACTCACCATCTATAATATCTTCATTATTGATTAAACTAAGCATTGTTGAATTTCTCATAGTTATAAAGAAATATCTGATATTCCGTCTAAAAATATATCCAAATATAAGAAACGGTAATACAAACAACGGTATTACCAAATAGTATAATTTTTCCAGAGTATTCGAAATAACATCATCGATACCGATTTCACTGCGCGCGCCGCACGACGGTATCGTGGCGAACTTTGTGGTCCTGCCTTCCACCACCAGCAGACACGTGTACGTGCTGTCGTCGTAGTCAAACAACTGGAAGTTTCCAGAAGATTTGGAACTGAGATCTTCCTTACACTCGTTGTTGGCGCAAACAGACTTGACTCGCTTTCTGTTCGATATTAAATAATTAATGTCTCTAAATCCGGTGTGATATACTGTACTTCCATTATCATCGCTATTATTAATTGAATGAATAAATTGATCCGGCAGAATCTTTTCATTTCTCAAAGCTAGCAGAAACAGTTCTCTCGCGTTACAATTGCATACGACGAAATTACCTGAAATTCCAATGTACATTAAATTTTCAAAATCATTTTCCATCTCCTCCGAAATTAAGTTAATGATGTTGTTTCTCATTGACAAAAATTTTAGGTTCGGCATCAGAACTATAGTAGGCCTGAACCAGGTCGTAAGTCTGTTCATGTCCAGAATCAAGGCCTGAAGATTGATAAGGCTTTTAGCTACTTTCTTCTTTATTGTGGATATTTCATTATTCGACACTAGTAATATTTCCAATGAAGATAAACTATCAAAAACATCTAGACTGTTTAGAGCGATATCGTTAGCATACACTACTTGTAATGTGGACTTAAGGCCTTGCAAGGCTTTTATATCTTTAAATATGTTTTGATTCCCGGACACATCTAGATATTTGACGGAGGTGCCCGCCAGCCAGCTCGCTTCCATGTTTGTCAACTCTGTCTCACATATTGATAAACTCTGTAAACTTCTTATTTTTTTTATCGCGTGGAGATTTTCTTGTCGCATCTTAGTGTATGATAAATCTAATGTTTTTAATCGTGTAAATCTCGAGAAAACTTTTAAATCGCCAAAGAACAGGCCTCGATATATTTCATTCGTATTGTATTCATAGTTTCTGCTTATATCCAAATGAATAAGATTCGATAAGCCCTTGAAGGAGTTTTCATTGATTACATAAATATTGTTTTCCCCGAGAAATAATTTTTCAAGATTCGGCATATTTCTGAACGGAGAATCTTCCAATTCTCTGATGCCACAGAGCCGTAAATCTAATTGACGTAAATTTTTAAACTGGACCCCGTGGAAGCCGGACGACCACATTTCAGACGCTGTGAACAAAGCAGGCGCTGAGTATGATGCCAGAGTTCTAATTCTAATTCTACGATGAGATAGAGGTAGACGGTAAAAGAGAATATCTTTGTTGTTGTCACTCACCGAGCACGTCGACCGCGTCAGGTACAACTATCGCATTGGTCGCATTCATATGCTCTTCGAACTTAGGTCTTTCGAAATTAGTTGCATAGAAGAAGTTGCCAGCCAGTGTCATATAGACTAGTGTGTCTGATAGAGGCCGGCCACAACGATCGGTGAATTGGAAGATCTTAAAATAGAAATTAAATGTGGTACATAAAACACGATTGTAAACTTTTGCATTATTTTTAGTATACTAAAACGACGTGACGTAAAAAATATAAAGCAAAAAAACGGAGGAAGTTGTAACAACGTGTATTGATATTGAACATAACATCTTCCAAATGCCGCAGAGACTTATTTCAATAATGATTCTGCTGCTGCCACTTATTTTGTTCAATAAGGAACAATTAACCTTGGGCACGAGTTGCAGCTGATTCCTAGCCATGCTGAGGTATTGCACGGAGCTGCCGTTGGCGCAGGAGTAGGCTTCCAGCTGCTGGTGCAGCCGGCGATTCGCGTTGAACTGATACGACACGTCGATCTTACTATCTCGAGCTGTGGTTGACAATTTAAAATTATTTGAACGAAGTCTATAAAATGACTAGTGAAGTGAAGCGTGGATACCTTCATGAGTATGCTATCTTTATCAGCAAAAAAGTCAAATAATCTGGTGAATTAGCAGTTAATTTTAAATCTTAAAAGGGACATGAAAAATTCTTCTGGTGGTGTTTTCTGAAGCAACAATTGGTATAATATTATATGGTATGAGTGAGGATTACGTGCTCTCTCAGTGAGCTTTCCGCGGTCGTCGACCCAGCTCTGTACGTCTGTCATGTAGCCGGTGAGGCAGCGCTCCTGCGGCGGCGGCTGCGCGCCCACCGCACCCAACCATACCATAACCCTGCCAATCATCGATTTGTCTTTAAAATTGTTAGTAAGCGTACACTGACTGACTGAACTACAAATACATCATTTAGTGTAAGGTTGGTTTATTCCAGATATTGAGAATTTAGAGGTTTTACAAGTTAAAGCCAAAGCAGGAATAGTTCCAGCAGCTGATCCTGGAGCAAAAGAAGCCGGAAGGGCGCAAGAGTCGTATTACGTATTATATCTGATAATATTGTTTTCCGCGTCATGCAGATATATGACAACAAATGTACTATCTGAACGCATTACAGTAAGAGGCAATTTAATTTCTAAACAAAAAATCAAACACCAGGTGTTTAGTCAATGATTAAGACAATATTAATGAGTAGGATGGAAAAAATTCGTGGGATGTCTCCAAAGATACAATAGTAATATAAGTATTCAGATCTAAGCATGGACATCGTGACAATGTGAAGAATGTGCCAAAACTTTTTGACTATGCTCGAGTTGGTGAATAAACAAAAAGATTAATATTTCGAATTCGGATTGAGTTCGCTCTATTCTTATTACATTTTTACAACTAAGTATATTTTGTTGTGAGTTTACTTACAATAAAAGCAGTAACATTATGGCATCCGTTTCAGTAGGATAATCAAGTAAAATAGGATATTGTTCATCGTAGCTGTGCTCCACCTGTACTCGCTGTCCAACACACAGCTGTTTGTTCTTTTTATAACATTACTTTTTTCAAAGATATCACTTCACATTTAAATAAAACCTTTAACAGAAAACACTGTCTAAATGAGAAAATTCTTTTTTGAAATGTATTATCTTGAATATTTCAATCAATAACATTTAAAATTAGACTAAAAATGAAAATAGTTTTAAAGCATGTTAACAGCCGTGTGACATAAATGCTGAATGATTGAACGTTAATACGTAATGACTGATAATGTATACACATGACATACAGGATGTTGCCAAAATCAATTTAATAAAAATAATAACCTCTATGCGAATGTTTTGAAAAGATTGATGTTCCCTATCCGCTTACCCCGGATCCGAAAAAGTCTAATGTAAATCAAAGTATCCTAATAATATTGCTTGAAAGTATTCACTTTAGGACATGCTTTGTTTGTTATCGCAAAAAATACTAGAATATAATTTGATAAGCTGGACATGTCAGTTGCTGCGATCCAGGTATCTTATCTGAGGACAGTGAGATCGTGATTACAATGATTACATGAAGCACTCCGCGCCGGACTTGTCCTCGGACAAACAATATACAATTCTAAATTTTGCTCTGCAAGAAAATACTGATAATGTAATAGTAGTTTTGTTCACAGCATCGATAAACCCTAAGTGGCCGCTTGGTTGTTAATGATCTAATCTAGAATCTAGAATGATAAAATCTAGATAATTAACGTTATTGAAAATAAATGAAAAGCGCACGAGAAAATAATCAACAGAATCCAGTATATTATGTAGTAGCAATGATTTAGTTTTTTCTTGTCATAATTATTTTAACCAGTGTTAGCTCACAGCAGTATGTTGCTGCTGCATGAATATTGAACACTACCAGCGAAATTCTTCATTTCATCCCCCCGGACATCTGCAATACCAGAGGAACTGCAGATTCGTTGGCGGCGTTTGAGAAGGTTGTACGCTCTCTTCTTGAATGACCCTACGTCGTAGCGGTTTGTAAATATCGCCGAGGACAGGCCATTCCACAACGCGGCTGTGCATTTCGAAAGTTTCGTTTTTTACATCTCCTCTAGAAATAGGTAAAGCATTTGACTTTTACACTTCTTGGACATGTCAAAGTGCACGATCATTTCGATACTTAAGTATTTCAGGTGGCTGTACGCTCGTCTGCACCTTTCTCTATAAAACAAACCGAATTTATTGGTAGTTAGTACTAAGTATCGTTGCGCTTTCGGGCAACCATTATTATATAATACTTGTTGTGTGATATTTGGGAAACAAGTATTTGCTAATAGCGCACGCGACGGTGTCGCAATATTATGACGATTGAAATAAGAATCGCTTGACGATGACTATGCATTACTAAGTAAGGTATGAGCAGGTATAAACACAGCTTACACTGACGAGCGTCACAGTCACCGCAGATAGTACAACGATGGTTTGCGCATATTTTGTTCGATAAAGGTCATTATTGATGCATCTTATAACTCTCAAAACATCATAGTTTTTTATTTCTTAATATAAAATAACTTAATCGTATAAGTAGGTACACTGCCGAAATTTTTATGTTTAAATAAACATTGTTTTTGTTTAAATAAAACAATGTATCCAATTATTTCCAAAGAGTCACCTGGATTTACATAAAATAAAACTTATCAGAAGATAAAAAACATATATTTAAATATTTTCAAACTGATTGATGATTTATTTTTCACATTTATCGATTGATACTAAGTCAATTAATTCGATATCAATTTAAGTTAACAAAATATTTACTTAAGTGCAATAACTCATAGAAATGTAATACTGTCACAAGTATGACACTTAAACCAGAATTAAACGCATGTTGTGTTACTTGGGAGATTTTTGTTTATCGTTATACACCAAAAACAAACATTGTTTTTTTCCTTTTTATCTATGTCTGTTTTCTCTGACCTCTGATTCACTCTATCCTTTGAAAATGGGCGTCGCCAGAGAGAGGCAAGGGGGGCAGATGCTCCCCCTTAGAGATTCGAAATTCATACAATCGATATTGAAATAACTCAAAGCACCTGCCCCAATTCCTAAAGACCCACATAGATAACTCAAACCCGACTTGTCAGTTTTTTGGCTTAATTAAGAATTAAACTACGTGTTGAGCATAAAACAATATTTTTACTACTAGCCCCCCCCCCCTCCTAATCGGGAGGGGGCCTCTCTAGATCGTCGGCTGGCGACGCCCACGCTTATGGTTCTACACATACATATCCACCATTATGCTTCATCCTAATTTTTAATCTTCTGTTTCACAATAAGTCCTCTTTTCTCTATTATTGTATTTACGCCAAGGAATCCGTGCTGCTTTGCCTCATTTTGTGCGTAATCAAACTCTTGTTCAATCGTCTCCAGAACATAGGTTGTTCAGCCTCCTCCTTCGGCCACACGATGTACGTGTTGGTCATCATGAGGTAGTGCAGCGTGTTGGGCCGGACACGTCGCGGTATCTCTTCTAGAAGAACTAGGATCAGATCCTCACGTCTCGTTTCTAAAAGTCTGCAAACAAAGATTATACTTACATAATGTTTACAACGACCGAAGATTGAATGCAAGCGGTGCGATGCGCGGTGGTGCAATCTCCCAAGGAGGAAGGAAAGATATCTCAAGCATAGCATATATGTTAAAGCGAAAAGTATTAGAAATACATACCTATGCTGTGCAAGATGCATTTCAAACTGACACCACTGACTTAACAGAAACTTCTGCGAGAGGATTAGCAGGATAGTCTTGGAGCGATCCATGCACGAAACAATATTCTCAAGGATGGATAATCCCACCTGGAAAAGAGAAGCGTTAGGAGTTAGACAGGTTGAGGCTGCGGGGATTGTTTATATAAGAGCGGTGGAAAGCAAGCTGTCACCATGAAGTCCCGCTCGTGCAGACAGACGCTGACGTTGGCGTCGACCTCGACGTGCGGCAGCAGCTGGTCCAGCACCCAGCCGCGGTCCTCGTGGCAGTACGACACGAACACGTCGTAGTGAAAGATCGTGTTCTCTGAAAACAACAATCAATAATTCACATTTGAGGAAACCCAGCTTTAAACGTGGAGAAGCAAACAAATACTAAAGTGCTATTTGCAGAAGTCCTCGCATTTCTCTCGCTCTTTATATGTTGTTACTGCTTGCAATTAACCACTTTTTTTTTTTTAGGTTGGATAAATTTTTATTAAAATAATCAATAACTTAAAATCAAACCTACCGTCAATAACTTCATCCTTGTTGATTAAACTCAACATTGCAGAATTCCTCATAGTTATAAAGAAATATCTGATATTCCGATTAAAAATATATCCGAAAATACAAACAGGTAATAATAATGCAGGCAATGTCAACAAATACAACGTATTCCAGGTCTCCGAAATAACTTCATCGTAATCAATGTCTTTGCGCGTTTTACAGAACGGGACCCTTCCGAATGACATAGACCTCCCTTCAGCCGCCTGCATGCAATGGTACGACGGCAGGTCGTAGTCAAAGATGAGGTAGTTGCCTTTGGTTTCAATGGCGGCGGTCTCGTCGCACTCTCCCTCGGAACAAGTCGGCGCCACGTGTAACCGTTCTGTTATCATGTGATTCACGTCAGTGAAGCCCCTGTGGTACACTATGCTTCTCATTTCGTTATTGTTTAGTGGGAAGATGAGATCCTGGTCTCTGGTCTTCTCATTCCTCGCGGCCAACTCGTACAATTCTCTAGCATTGCAATTGCACACAATGTTATTTCCCGAAAAGCCAACGTATGATACGTTTCTTAAATCTACCATCATTTCCTCGGATATCAAGTTAATGTTGTTATTTCTCAAAGATAAAAATTTTAACCTCCACATCAAAGATACAGCCGGTGTAAACCAGGTCGTTAGTCTGTTCGAGTCCATAATCAAGACCTGAAGGTGTTCCAAGGTCTTAGTTGTACTTTTGTCTATTGAACTAATTTCATTATTGGATACTCTTAATATTTCTAATGAATTCAAATTTTCAAAGACTTGCATAGTTCTGAGTGCGATGTCATCGGCGTATATAACTTGCAAGGTAGATTCGACCCCCCGCAAAGCTCTTACGTCATCAAAAATATTTGTGTTTCCCGAAACATCTAGAAATCTCATTGATGTGTTCGCAAAGAAATTTGGGCCCATATTTGACAATCCGGAATGACATATGGACAGCCTTTGCAAACTTCTGCTTACACTTCTGAATGCGAGAAGGTCGCGCTGCGCCAGCTTCGTGAGAGATAGATCTAGTGAATTCAGACGTACCATCTCAGCGAAAACATTTATGTCGGAAAAATGCATGCCTCGATCTATTCTACTCATATCTAAATGCATTAGTCTCCTTAGACCCCTGAAAGTGTGTTCGTCTATTGTATAGATATTATTCTCTCCAAGATACAACTTTTCGAGATTAATCATGTCGCTGAAAATGCCAGCTTCCAACTCAGCGATGCCGCAAAACCTTAAATCCAACTCACGGAGATGTGGGAAACGAACTCCGCGGAATCCGTACGACCACGTATCTGCCAATGGAAGTGATTCAAAATCAGTAACATAATAAATTACATTAGTCATGCCTATAAGAGTTTTTGTCTTCGGGATGTTAGAAAATAAAAATAACGTCCTACAAGTTATACACTCACCATTATTATTTATCAAATTTATTGACGCCACAATCGATCTTTTTGGTCCAAAGTGATTTCCGTACAGCGTCATATATGTTACTGTTACGGCAAGTATTTGTCCGCAGTTATCGCTGTTGCCAAAAATCTAGAAGATGTCGGAAAACAAAAATTATTAAGTTTTTCTGCGAAACCATCACTTTCGACTATGAATCTTCAGTAAATTAAATACAATAGCTGGCGTATTGTTGATAAGTTAACTTAGTTGTGCGTCAATCTATAATTCTAACACGAACTGACCCTTGGCACCTGCTGCAGTTGGCCTTTCGCCATGCTCAGGTACTCGACGCCACCGCCCGAGCCGTTCCGCGAGCATTTAAACTCCCTCAGCGCGCCAAAGAGCCTCTGAATTATCCCGCTCCGATAGGACACATCGATTCTGTTGGCCAGCGCTGGAATAACGCTTCAATGAGTCTCCCAAAGCTACGGCGCCTTCATATTTTCAAAACAATGTGTTTGCTACGTTACTATACGATTATAATAGAACTTAGTTACGTGCTCGGTTGGTGAGTCTGCCGCGGGCGTCGACCCAGCCTTGCACGTCGGTCATATAACCCGTCAGGCAGCTGTCGGTGCGCGACTCAGTTGTCGCCGCGCTCACCACCAGCCAAATTAAACTGGAAACAAGCACTAATCTAAAGTGATGCACTGCAAAATCTGCTGACTCGTTTAGATTGTAGGAGTTCATAAAGGAATTGATCTGATCGTACATCAAAAATTTATATGAGTAATTGACTAATCTAAACGATTGTCATAAATAGAAAATTTATGACATTAAATTTGGAAGAAATTTTACATCGCTTGAGTCTGTTTAGTCTTGAAATAAAAACATTAAGTGTACTCGTATTTCAAAATTATATCAAAGTTAATGTTACTCACAAATACTTCACAATCATTTTAATAACGTCAACGTAGTTGTAGAGGAATGTCCTAGGGCACCTTGGTCAGTGGTGAACATAATTGTTTGTTGTGGTTCTACCACTATTTCCTATTTTCGTCTGTTTTACGGTAAACCTTACAATATTAAAAAACAATACTCGAAACAACACAACAAACAATATAATTTCAAGAAAGCACAATACATTGATTGTGTGTACGTCAATATGTAGGTAATGAGTTGTAATTAGTATCTTATCTCGTAAATTGTAATATCATTCGTCACTTTGAATTGCAATCTCAATATCTAATCGAATGTCGACGGAACTGGTGTTAACTATTTTCCATATTACGTCTATAAATATTTCACCAAACGAAGGAAGAACTGCCTGCTTCATATTCTATTCTTCATATTTATCGGACGTTACTATAAACGTGACATCGTGTATAAATTTCCCTTTTCAGTGTTAGAAGTACCCATTAGTAGTATTAGTTGAATTATCTATAAAATTAGGCCATCTTTAACATCAAATCTTATTTTAAGTAAAGCACTTCCTCATAAAGTGCCATTGCCAAGTTCAGTTCATCGATCCTCGGACACTCAACGTACTTAAAAATATGTAGCAAAGCATATCGCAAGATAACGAGCCGACTAGAAAATATAACGTTGATATGGCTTTATGATGCTAAATATAGTAAATGATATCGAACTAAGAACAACACACTATGGTTAACCCACAAAGTTCTACGCGATGGAGAATTGACAAAAATGTGTGAATAACCCACAGCCAACAGAAAAGTGGCGGTAATTCATAGCAAATCCTTATAATACAACTTTACATTACTTTTAACAGATTTTTTGCAGTACAAAAATAGTTCTTTGAGCCAACTTAGAAGCATCTGCGCTAAGACTTATTTTAATGGTATCGAAGGGACTTGTTGCAGTGGAGCTGCCGAAGCAACTGCAGCAGAGCAAGTATCAGGTGCGGTACCGCGCGCCCTCGCCGCCGCCGCCCGGTGTCACGCGCACCCCGGAGGAGATCGAGGCGGAAATCAAACGTGTTGAGGCCGAGTATGAGAATCTGGCTCTCGTCTTCATTGAGTAAGTACATACTCGTACATTGGACGGAATGGCTGGACTAAGTATCGGTATTACAAGTTCGAGATTAGATATCACAGACAAGGTAACCAGATATATGGAGTATATGTGTGTATGGTGGCAGGCTGCCGCAAGATGTGATGTGGTCGGAGCCGCCGGTGGTGTGCCAGTGGTACGAGCCGCGCCATCTCTGGATGACCACATACATCAACGACTACAAGTTCAACGAGGACAAACTCACCGTGCAGTTCCGCACTGGAGTTCTCTGTAAGACCATTGAGTTATGCTTTGTGTAATGAGCTAACGAATCGCCGCACAATTTTGTCTAATTTTACTTGTACAGTTATAAAACCGTTATTATATATACTAGAATCTTTATAAAACATCTTTGTAACGTCAGGGCCGATCGGCTTTGCAACATTGAGATACAGCAACTTACCCTACCAAGGATGGGATATTCGGCCAGACCTCGAAAGGTATGAATAGGTTTTCGTATTTTTTTACGCAATATGACTTTACAAAATTCCACCATCTACATAAATCCTGCTGGTTTCAGCGAGGGTGTGGTAATATCAGTGACGGGTGTGTGTGTGAGTGTGACGTGGCTGTGCCGCGGCAGCTCGGTGCGCTTGCTGTGGATCGCCAACGCCACCACGCCCGCGCTCAAGGACCACTTCCACAAGCCATACAGCGTTAAGAAAATGATACAGGTTAAATGAGTACACTGAATTGTCTTATTGGATGTATGCCGTGTTATGTGGTCGATCGATACCAGTGTTGTAAACGCTTATAGGGTAAATAGGCGTTTACACTTGAATCATTTGCAGATTATGCGCGAGGCGGCTTGCGACTTCTTCCCAGACTTCGACGCACACAATCAGGTGGAGGGCAGCTGCCCCAAGGAGTGGGTGGGCGAGCGGCACACCTACCACGCTATGGCTTTCCTCTCCAGGGCCTACAACTTCCAGTGGAGCAGGTAGCCCAAAACTCATAAAGAGCAAAGCGGAACACGCAAAAAGATTAACTAAAATTATCAGTTAAAACAAAATATGAGGATATAGTTATATTAGCATTTGTTGTGTGCATCGTGCAGGTGGAACGCCACCGCCGGCAGCAGGAACCTTGTAATGCAGATACGAGAAGCCGTCGACAGGAAGAGAGAGGTTATTTCATGTTTTTTTTTTCAACAATATTCAATATATTGCTAATGTCAAACAGCTCGACCGGTATAAATAAAAAACCTTTCACTTAAGAATCTTATCACTGACTTTATTTCATTATATTGTAGGCCAAATTCAGTCTTCTGCACGCAACGCCGCAGCACGCCACCATACTCAACTGCACAGAGCTGTCGCAGGAGTTCAACCTCGAGCCATTGGCTGGTTTGCAGGTACACACACATAACTTTCATTTACTCGTATATTCTTTTAAATTTCTCTCTTTTGCTCCGTCCACAATATTCGTAACGAGTTCAAGTTTCACATGTATAAATTGAACTGAAATGTTTTCAGTTCTACCCCGATCTGTTCACGCTGAACCTGTCGTACGGCTCGGTGGACGCGCGCCGCGCACCCTTCCTCATGAAGTACAGACTCGTGGAGACCGTCTTCAACATGCTTACTGAGCTGAAGCTGTGCAGCTTCTCCTGAACACGGAGGCGGCAAGTTCATAAGGTCCACAATAAAGCTAGAACAGTTGTGCTCTTTGTAAATATAATGCCTTATTCTCTTTAACTTAAGCTCACTACATAATAAATCACGTACGAAAAATATTTTTTTCCCTTATTCCCTGACTGTTTCCAATCAAGTTTTAAATTTTTAATTTGGCTCATTACTAAAAAGTCGAAGGTAAATAAAACCCAAGTGAGTGCTATAAACAAATTATCAATTTATTTTACTGATTAAAAAAAACTAAAAACTACTAATAGGTAGTAAAAAAAAACTTTATATTTCCTTCCATTACACGACCTGAATATGAATAGATTAATTTACAAAATAAAAAAGGTTGTAATAACAAAATAAGATATGCTTACGGTTTAATAATGCGCGACAAACGGCCCTCCTTATATATTTTTTTATTTACATAATTTTTTACCTCACAATCTGGCTCGTGTACGTATATAAAACTAATTTTTAATAATTAACACTTTCGCAAATATTATTTACACAAACGAACGCGACCTATTTACAGAAGCTGGCCGCCGCGCGGACAACCAACCACACGATACGCTTACTACACCATACTATATAAAATTACATGTCGATTCCTTTAAAAGAGATTTACAAGTGTAAATAATTTAGAAATACATTTCAAAATATAATTCTCATGATATAATCACGAAGCGATTGATCATTTCTTAGATTTAATTTATAAACAATTTCTACACTCGGAATCCCCCTCACAATATATAATGTGGCAACACAACATCAACAACATTACAGAACGATTGTGTAAGTAACATTTACAAACGCAACGTCAACTAAATGAAATGTACTCAAAACTGTACACAAACAATCAAATGTGTCCTTTATACAAGCAATTTAAGTAATTCCCAAAAACACATTAACTTGAAACAAATGTCGAAATGTGGTTTTGTTGTCTCGTTTGTGGATTGATTTTTTATTTCATTATCACATTAGAAAAAATCACATTAAAATGAAGTACCGAGTACAGTCTTTGAAAAGTTTACATTTGTTTATAGTTTGAAAAAATCAATCCACACAACTCGTGTTTTCAAATAAAATGTCCCCACGAATTTTAATGGATTGTAAACATATTTTCATCCATGTCACAAAATTCAATGGAACCCCCCGCGATAATAAATCATATATAAGCATACATTTTTAAATTATAAAAGCAATCTACGGGATAACATTTTTTCAATGATTTTTCTCTGATCTTAATATTTACAATGTAGCTAACAAAATGTGCTCGTCTTCAACCCGATCGATATTTTAAAATGACGTTTAGAAAAAACGATTTTGTCATTCTTTGCTTAAATAATATCAGAACGACAATATTTTGCATTGATGATAACATTTTTACAAACGTACAATTCACTAAAGATTTTTTTCGTCCACCAAATGTCACTTATAAATTAAGAGAAATTCATTCTAATCAAATTATGTTAAAAAGCAAGGAAATGTTAAAATTAAAATATATGTAAACGTATAGAATTAATAATGTTTGTCAACATCTCTGCCAAGTCAGAAAAGGTTAAAACATAGCGTCAAAGTCGAAATATACGAAAATATTTAAATTTAAGCGCAACAAGTCAATGTCTCGTCATTTTACCACCAAAAGTAATATTTAAAAATCTGTTTTATCACCGATTGCCGACGGCGTTAGCTTGAATATCGTAACTGTTCCCATTTTAAAATAATTTAGCAAATTGTGTAGGCCTCGAAATGTGCATTAACACATTGAAATTGTTGAAATAAAACATTGAACAACAGACACACCGCATTACAAATTCGGTGAGCAGTCGATCGAGGTCGGAAGTGGGCAGCGAGTGGGCAGCGAGTGGGCAGCGAGT